AGTCGTTTAAAGCCGTGATCAGAGGGCACATCATCTCGTATCAGTCGTCTCGCAAAAGGGCTAGGCTCAGGCGTCGCACTGATATTGAGGCTGAACTAGCTGAACTGGAGGAGGATTATCGAAACACAGGTTCTGATGACACACTTAGCTCTATTTTGAAAGTGAAATATGAATATAACCATATTTTGGGCGAGCAGGTTGGGAACTATATTCGTAAACTAAAGCAGAAGCACTTTGAGCTGGGTGAGAAGGCCGATAAATTGCTCGCTAGGCAACTGAAGGGCGTCATATCTGATAGGGCAATACATAAAATTGCCTCCTCCAACGGTCAGCTATTAACTGATCACAAGCAGATTAATGACAGATTTTTTAGTTTTTACAGCCAGCTATATATTTCCAGATCTACTGCCACGGATACAGATATTGCCAATTTTCTCCATACTTTAGACATTCCAGTCCTTTCTGAGTTCGCAAGACTAGAGTTGGAATCTGAATTTACACTGGAGGAGATTAGAGATGCTATTCGTTCTTTTCCCGGTGGCAAAGCATGCGGTCCAGATGGAGCTGGGAGAGAATTTTACAAGACGCACATTGACGTTATCGCCCCCCTCCTGCTTCGGATGGTCAGTTGCTCTGTAAAAAAGGGTACCTTCCCTCATACTCTCTACGACGCCCATATCTGTGTCCTTTTAAAAAAGGACAGAGACGAAACAAATGTCTCTGCATATCGTCCCCTATCTCTGCTCAACTCTGACCAAAAAATTATAGCTAAAGTCCTGACTAACCGGTTAAACAAATATATTGGCACTTTAATTCATCCTGATCAATCAGGTTTCATCCCCAATAGATTTTCCTTCTCAAACACAAGGTGTTTGCTTAATTTAATGTATTCAACTAAATTGCCCCACTCTGCTGTGATCTCACTAGATGCCCAGCAGGCCTTTGACCAGGTGGAGTGGAGATACATGTTCGCTGCTCTTGACAAATTTGGTTTTGGGTAGAAATTTATGAATATATTAAAAATGCTGTATGCTAGCCCCCAATCTTCTGTTATAACAATCTTCTGGCCATAGCCATTAGAGCCAACCCCCAAATCTCCGGTATAAGGTGCGGCACATCCGAGTGCACCATCGGTCTGTACGCAGATGATGTAATTCTGACCCTTTCAGATGTAAAAACATCCCTTTCACCCCTTCTTAATCTGATAGACGGCTTTGGGCGACTCTCTGGGTTTACTATAAACTGGGAAAAATATGTTTTTATGCCTCTGTCTAGCAGTCTTGACTCCAGTTTTCTTCTCAATCTGCCCTTCAGAGTCTCTCATGACCACTTTTCCTACCTGGGGATTAACATCCCCAGAAATCCAAAACTTCTTTTTAAACTTAATTATATGGATCTGATTGGCAGGCTCAAGGGTATGATAGATAAATGGAAACTTCTCCCCCTCTCATTGATTGGCCCTGTCAACATTGTTAAAATGGTCGTGCTCCCTAAATTTACTTATTTATTTCAGAATGTGCACATCTTCCTCACTTCTTCCTTTTTCAAGACGTTAGACTCTATTATCATGCCCTTCATATGGGCCTCCAAGCCCCCCCGTATTTCAAAGGCCCACTTACAGAAGCCCACTGAGGAGGGTGGTTTAGGCCTGCCTGTCTTTCGACATTACTACTGGGCCTGCAACGCCAGAGCATGGGTTTTCTGGAATCAGTCCACGGCTGGGGGTGCAGAGGTGGGTGGACCCTGCCCTAGATGGCCTGAGATTGAGCTTAGTAATGCCGTGTCACTTACTGGTGCCTCCTTGTCAGCCATTCTATTCTCAAAACCTGACATTAAAATTAAATCGCTACGCAATTTTCTACTTTGCAATTCGATTAAAATTTTAAAGCAAATCAAGGTAATTCTAAAACTCCCAGAAAATTCAATTCATGCCCCCATATGTCAGAATCCCTGTTTCAAGCCTGGTTTGATGGATGCTGTCTTTACGCAATGGTCAGATAAAGGTTTAACTACTATCAGGGATCTTTACATTGATAATCACTTTGCATCTTTTGCCCAGCTCCAGGCTAAGTTCAAACTCCCTACTAACCAATTTATTCGTTATCTACAAATTAGGAATTTTGTTAAGCATACTTTTTCTCGCCTAGATGTGACCCCCATGCAACATGTCTTTTTTGATATTATGACCAGCCCTCCCACCTCCAAGCATTTGATCTCCCGGTTTGTTAACCTCTTTGTTGTGGCAACCCCCTCTCTCCATATTAAAGAGGCGTGGATCAAGGACACCGGCGAAGCTATATCTGATGAGCTATGGGCGAAAGGGTTAAAAAGGATAAAAGCATGCTCTATTAATGCTCGACTTCAGCTTATTCAGTTCAAACTAGTTCATAGGTTGCACTATTCCAAGACTAGACTGAACAAATTATTTCCGGCTGTCTCCCCCACTTGTGATAAATGTAAAGCAACTAATGGAACTCTTGGGCATCTTTTCTGGTCCTGCTCTAAGCTCACTAAATTCTGGGTCGACATTTTCAGTTTGTACAGTGCTGTTTACAATAGACAACTGATTCCTGACTGTCTCTTAGTAATACTGGGCTGCTCCGAAGGTTCTTTGGCTCTTCCATCCGCTTTACAACAAGCCCTCATGTTTGGTATGATCATTGCAAAACGGGTTATCCTAAAGGAGTGGAAGTCTGCTTCCTCTCCTTGCTTCAAGAGGTGGCTTAATGATATGGTTTCCTGTTTACACCTTGAAGAAATTCGGTTCTCTATGTCTAGCTCTCAAGATAAGTTCAAGAAGATCTGGGGCCCTTTCATAGAATACATCAGGAAGAATAGATTTCAAACTGGGACCTAAATGCAATGCACTTTTAAAAAAAAAAAAAAAATTTTTTTTTTTTTTTTTTTAAATCTTTGGGTAGTTATCTTTACTGAGACTGCCACTCCCCTCTGGCTCAGGCCTCCGTGACTCAATTTGTGAATGGGGTTTTTGTGATATCTATTCATTGTACTGACACGTATATTTATATAGAATGTGTAACTGCTGGCTGTATGTGTTTTTTTTTTTTTTTTTTTTTTTTTTTTTTTTTTGCTTGTTGTTGTTTGTGCCTTAATTGTCTGATTTACTGCCTTTTTTTGTTTGTATTATGTGCACCTGTGTATAAAAAAATAAAAAAATCTGTATAAATAAAATTTTCAAAAAAAAAAAAAAAGTAACTTCCCCAACACTGATGGTCAGTATGTTATTCTAATGTTGATCTAGCTTACTGCTAGTTTCGTATAGCAAACGACGTAGTATAACATTATAACTTTCAACACACATTTAAATGCCGTTTAGTGTGATAGTGTAACGTTAGACCAAGTGAAGTAGCGCTGCGTTACCTCACAAGTTTAATTCGTCTAATAAACTGACCTGTGCGAGTAATCCAGCACTTGCGGGTAGTTCGGTAGAATTAAATGTCCTTATTCCTTTATATCCACGGGACTCGCGTGTGATATCTGTCTCTTTAGCAATCGCGACCTGCTTCATACCACTGTAATGTTAAAAAACATGAATGTTTGCACTCATCCATAAACATTATTAGATCCATCAGCTTGACAGCAAGCCCCATCATTCAGCTCATCACTGCGTCATCAACCTACGCCTTTGTTATTGTTGGAAACTGCGCCCTCTTGTGGCGAAAAAATCTTACATATTGTGCCTTTAAGGAAACTAAACACCATATTAAAAACCAAAGGGATGTAAAACTTTTAAACAAGACCATTTGTGTAAATTCAGTTTTTGTTTTGTCTAGTGGAATGTGTGTAAATATTTGTTACATGAAACAGGGAAGTAAAAAAAATTGTGAATATCAGGGAAGTATTAAAAAAAACATCACTATAAGTTACTGTTACTTTAGTTCGTACAGTGAATGATTTTTAGACTGATTCAACCTGTATTTTTTTTTCATTCAAGAGAAATCACTTAAGAGAGACATTTCCTTGTGAATCAGATTACACTGGCTGCACTGTATGTTTGTATTAAAGCTGCCGTCGGCAACATTTTTTTGATCATATTCAGTGAAATCGACACTATAATCTGACAGAACAACATAAATAAAGTGGTTTTAGAAAAAACCCGAGCTTCTAACTCCACCTGGAGCTTGTTATTTGTTTTGCAAAAATCCACAGCTCCCGGTTCATCATGTCCAATCAGCGCAGGGGGGTGTGAGATCTGACTGTCAATCACAGATCGGGCACACGCCACCCCTCGCGCACGTTACAATCACATGCACACGCCTGAAGTTCGCACAGTAACGAAGAGTGATGGCGGAAAATCAAGTAAGCTCATTTAGAGTATAAATGACGTTAGCAATTGCAATCTATCGGTAGATTAGCCAGGACAGCATACCTCCAAATACTCCATGGTGTTGATGGATGCTGATGAGACGGGCGCGTTCCAGGGCTCTCAAGTTTTGAAAACAGGTAAGAGTGACACCCAGCCGACAGGGGGTTGGATACATTTTTGTCATTGGTTGTTGCGTTAAATCTTACCCAGATACAATAGTGCTATTTTCTGATTGGCTATTGTGTAGCTCGACGAACAACACCAGAGGAAACGCGCTTGATTCATGCCGGTTCCACAGTGAGAGCGGCGCGGCCAGAGTTTTGGGCGCTGCGGCATATTAAATATATTAAAAATAGTTTTTCAGCGTGAGAAATACAATGTGTGGCGGGAGAGCGTGACAAAAGACCGAAATGAGTGACTGTCACGCGTGACACTTGAGAGCCCTGGCGTTCACTGAAAATCTGGTGCACACGCACTGACGAGCATGAACTGGGTGGGAGGGTATCCGTTGATAGTGGGGGAGGGGCATGAGAGTTGAAAACATTCAAAATTTTCCTAAATCCACTCAATCTGCCAGACTTGCCGACTGCAGCTTTAAGACATGTCACCTTAGCAGTACAATGTCTTGTGCTATTTTTCTTGATGTCTTAAAGTAAATGAGTGCCGGAAGTACCTTAGAGTCTCGTATTCGCTCTGCAGCGGTGGCCAGGTTTCCATCGCTGTGTGCACGGCTGATACTTGTGGAAGAATTGGACCCCGTGGAAGTGGTGCTACTGCTGGCACTGCTTACTATGCTGACATTACTGCTGCTGTGAGCACTCACACCACTGGTGCTGCCACTGCTCGCCATGCTCCTCTTCCAGCCATCACGTGTCATGCTGGGACGCTGCCGTGGACTGTGCTCACGTATGTAGCTCCTCACCTAAATTAACAATAGAAATCTGAATGTTTTTAAGAGTTTTACTGACCAACAGATCTCAGATTAACTTGCAACAATTTTAGGTAACACTTTAGAATAATGTATCTTACTTACTGCATAACTCATAAGGAATTATTGAAGAACTAGTAGGTAATTCTTCATTAAACTACTTCTTCACTGCTGTTAACTACTAAGGAAGATGTGTTAACTAATCAGTATGTAATATAATTTTATGATTGTGTTAAGTTACAGTTAGTTAATCAATAACCAATGAATTATGTCATACCTCGTGAAGAACTACCATTAATTATCTATTAATTAAGGTTCAAGAAAAATAACTATGAAGTAACTACTAATGAACAGTCATACACAGTAGTCACTACAATAATCCAGTTTTTTTTTTTAGCATTGTAGTGGTGGAAGTAGTACACAAATCAAGTGATTGAGTAAAAGTACAGATAGCCCAATAAAATATTACTCCAGTAAAATTATAATTAGGCCATTTTCAAAATTACCTTAGTAAAAGTACAAAGGTAATTACTTTTTAAAGTACTTAAAAAGTAAAAAGCATATTATTATACTTAGTTCTTATACATTTTAAACTTATTTTGCACCATTCAAGTTCCGGCAATATCACGGTAGCCCACATTTTACAGTGATTTGGTGATGCAAGAGCGCGGGCATTTGCATCCTCTTCTGGAGAGTTCTCAGTGCCGCCGATTTGGTGCATTTCTTCTGCGAAATACAGGGTTGTGTACGTTTTATTTAATCTATAAAATCATTACTGTGCTGTAAATCATTTTATTTTATGCAAGGCAACATACAAGGACGCGATGTCAGTTAGCCTACCTAGCTGAGTCAGTCTTTTTTGCGTGATGGAAATTATTTTATTCATAAAGATAGTAAATCTATTTACATCAGATGTTAAAATATGTTCAGAGCTGTGCACTGTTTGTTTATGGGCAGGTTATGGAGTCAGTCACAGCATATTTCAGCTATGAGTGAAACGCAGGGCGGAGGTCTGAAGTTAAAGCAGTTTCCCTGCTGAACACGAGCCCAGCTCCCGCAAGAGATCCAGCACCACTACCGTGGAAACGAGACCAGTTGATTACTTGTATTACTTTTAAAGGTTTAACTTTTGATTTTAAAATGTTTGTTAAACGAGTTTAAATGTAGGCAGTATACATGTTAAAACAAAATATCATCTGAAATAAAGGAAGATATCATGTAGCTTAAACAAGTCATTGTAGTGTATTTTACAAAGGTTATAGATGATTACGTTAATAGTGTTTTTTTTACAGTAAGTTTTATTTGAGTCAGAAGTATGTGGTAATTCTTTATTAATTATTAATGGGTTCCCTATATTTTCACTTTAGAATACTGTTTCAGGTTATAAGTAGCCTAATTCCTGGATAGTTATTTGATAATTCTTTATTGATTACTAATGGGTTCCCTGTATTTTCACTTTAGAATACTGTTCCAGGTTATAAATAATTCCTGAAGAATTATCTAATAATTCTTTATTAATTACTAATAAGTTCCCTATATTTTCAGTTCCCCTCAGTTGTTGCCTAAAATACATGAATTTACTCAATGGCATTCTATGCTGAGGAAAACAGACACACACAGTACTGTATATATAAAAACTAATCTGAGGTTAGTTTTGTATGACTGTTTATTAGTTACTTCTTAGTTATTTTTCTTGAACCTTAATTAGTAGATAATTAGTAGTAGTTCTTCAGGAGGTATGACAGAATTCATTAGTTATTGATTAACTAACTGTAACTTAACACAATCATAAAATTATATTACATACTAATTAGCTAACACATCTTCCTTAGGAGTTAACAGTAGTTAACAGCAGTGAAGAAGTAGTTAATGAAGAATTACCTACTAGTTCTTCAATAATTCCTTATTAGTTATGCAGTAAGTAAGATACCGTATTCTATAGTGTTACCCAATTTTATGCTCATTGTATGAAACTAACCTACTTGTATGAGATAATAACTGGCAAGCCTTAAGGCTAAAATACACGCTAAAGGACTTTTTCACGATTTTTGCTCCAATTTGCATTCTGGACAAGTCAACGTTAGTTGCTGAAAGACAGACAGTCAGCAATTTAAGCTGTCAGAGTTGACAATACATTATAAAAAAAATTGAATCCCTTCTTTTTCTTGAAGACAACACACACGCACTTGACACATATTATTGTCATTTGTCATGCATCTCCTAGCAATAACGTACATTTCTGCGTGAGTTTGAGGTGTTTGGAACATCAAATTCAAGAGCGAATTTGTAAGTCAGTGTGTGTGTGTGGGGGGGGGGGGGGGTGTGAGGGCGGTTGTGTAGCAAACTTCATGTGATGAACTTGACTAATAAAAAGGGTTTTTTCTCTTTAAATAACTTGCTAGTGGATATGACTTCATTTCTATAGTGGAAAGAAAAAATGTCCAGTGTCAGGAGACATGGTGGCATTTCACATGGCTTAGTTCGATTTACTCTTGTTGATGCCGCTGAAGCAGTGCGTGTACTGTTTGAATCTCCCGCTGAATCCATTTGGAATGTTTGAATCTCCCGCTGAATCCATTTGGAATGTTTGTATCTCCAGCTGAAGCAGTGCTTGGGATTTTTGAATGTTTGAATCTGACTGGTTGGGGCGGAGCTTTGGAGTGCCCAATTTGTAAGTATGTGCCTTGTTTGCCTTTAGAATCGTCAAAACCTGACGCCCCGAGTAAAAGTATTGTGTCATGACTTTTAATTAACTAACTACACTAAATTGTTATAAATTGATCAAAACCTTATACTGTAGGTTTCATTCCATTCCTAATTCCAATTTACAACTACTAGAAGTATATCCAACTTGACCTGCACGTATAAAGCACAGGGTTGCCAACTTTGGCAACAACAGTTCTTGTCTTAGGACAACTTGATGAACTTTTTTGATCCACTTCAAGTTCAAATGTTGACTACTGTAGAAACTGTACCTGTTAACTTTACCTACCATATACTCCAAACGTTATATATAACAACTAGCGTTAGTTAGCTAATATTACCAAAGTCAGATTTCTTACAATTTTTTTTTAAAATAGTACATTTCTTTTTGTATGCTCTACATTGTGTGGAAAAACGATGTAGAATAGGCCTGTACATTATATTAAAATGTTTTATGCAATTTAAGCTAATTTGTCCACAGTTGTAAAGCAGAAAGATCACTTAAAGATAATAAGGACAAACAAAGGGAATATACATTAGCAGGTCAGAGGTAGAATGTTCCATAAGAACACCCATATTCAGTTCCCTTGAATATGTTATTGTCATTTATTATTCCAGTAGGCTAAATGTAAAGGTCTCTGTATTAAGACGAATTAAAATTTATGGAAAATAGCTGAAAATATACTCGCTGCTGCTATCTGTTCCGCTTAAACTGGGTTTTTTCGCTCCTTCCTGGTGAGATGTGTGTGTGCAGATTTATTTATTTTTTTCCAACAGTTGTGATTCACAGTCTAAACCAATTGTGTTTATCATTAGGAAGGTGTGTGAGGTGGTGAGCAAAGTGGCATAAGGTAAGAATCTCTCTCTTGGAAGGTAAGGGATTTTTTTGTTCAACAACAATTTTGCTCAACTGATTTGTATGATCTGTATGTGAAATTTGAGTGTTTGGTATCTAGTCTTTGCCTTGTTGTGCCTATATATTGAACCAACATGTTTGTAAATGGTTACAAATTCGCTACAGTTACTGACCCAGATGCTGGCTTTGGGTCAAGCGGTTTAAAGGATAATATTTCAAGGTTTAAAGGATGTATTATTAAATATTGTGCTTGAATTTTTCCATGGCACTGTGTCAGTTTATTTTTAGTCTCCCTTTTCTTTTCTTGTTAACCAATTGGTCCCTTTAAGCTGCATTTTGAAAGAGTTTTGATTTGATTACCACAACAAACAATGAGCCTGAAGCCTTCAACTGTGGATGGTATTCTTTTTCTTCACAACACTCGCGAATAAACAGTGAATGATGACCAACGTACATGTAGCCTACTCAGTTCAACAGATTTTTTTATTTATTATATTTGTATTATTATTTAACGTTAACCAGTTGGCGAAGAGCTCTTTGAAACGTTGTTCTTCAGTAAAGTTACTTAACATCAAAAAAAGGTAGGCCGTAAATCTTTATTTACTGCTGGATCACATTTGGCTATATACAATTCTCTACTGCATGCTTATGCTTCTCTGTAATGGACAGTCTGTATTAATATTTGTGGGCATGATTGTCAGTGGTGGTAGTTATGTTTGAGGCCTATAATAAAAGTTTACCTCTTAGTAGCGCGTGTGTGCGTGTAGCAGAGACAACGCGCATCAGAGAGCGCGTGTCAGAGAGAGCTTAAAGTGATATTGATGTTGGTCTCGGGTCGGGTCAGGTTCCGGCTGAAAAATTGCAGACGTTGTCGGGCTGGGCCCGGGTTAGGGCTTGAACACCACGGGCCAGGGCCGGGTTAGGGCTGGATTTTTTGGCCTGTGCAGGGCTCTACTCTCACCCACTCACTGAACAAAGTAGGAGCAGAAAAAGGTGTGACTGCAGCAGGAAAGAAAAACCCTGCGCTTGCAGGAGAGTACTGGAGCCATTTGTAAAGTCACTAAGGTTTGTCCAAAGAGTTGCTAAGCACTTTTTGGGGAAAAAAGTAGTCACGAAAGGGGTCTGAAAAGTCGCTTAATCTAAGTTGGCATATATATATATTTTATTTTGATTATATTATACAACTATTTATGAGCTTCAATCGAGTCACAATTTAAATATTGTGCATTTATGAGTCGAGCTTCTTTTTATCTTTTTTTATCTTCTTCTTGAGTGAAAGTCAATGGCCGCCCAGAGACTATTCAACCAATATTCAATTAATATAAATTTAACTCATGGACCCAATTATTTTTTATTTATTGCGTTTTGGGGAATTGTGCATTGTTGGAATTTAGTTGTTTCCATAATACATGCTGATATTGATGAGATTCAAGTGTTTTGTCAAATTTGAGGAAGGTAACTTGTAAAATCCATTACAAGGCCAAAAGAATCCTGTGGTAACGACAAAACTTACAGAAAGTAAGTTCCATCTGTTACAATAAATTTCATGGTGAAGTGTTTTAAACCCATTCACCCGGTTCATAATCCCATTATGAAGCAGATACAACCAAGGACAGAGACGTCGCCCGGCATGGCACAGCCGGGGCCCCAACCTGGAGCCAGGCCCGGGGTTAGGGCTCGCATGCGAGCACCTGGTGGCCGGGCCTCCCCCCATGTGCTCAGCCCGAGTGACGTGGGGCCGCCCTCCCGTGTGCTCACCACCTGCAGGAGGGACCGGAAGGTGCATAGTGGATCGGGCAGCAGTCGAAGGCGGGGGTCCTGATGACCCGATCTCTGGACACGGAAATTAGCTTTAGGGACGTGGAACGTGGCGGGGACGGAGACTGAGCTTGTGTGGGAGGTTGAGAGGTACCGACTAGAGATAGTCGGGATCACCTCCACGCACTGCTCTGGAACCACTCCTTGAGAGAGGCTGGACTCTCTACCTCTCTGGAGTTGCCCACGGTGAGAGGCAGCAGGCTGGTGTGGGTTTGCTTATAGCCCCCCAGCTCAGCCGCCATGTGTTGGAGTTCACCCCGGTGAACGAGAGGGTCTCTTCCCTGCGCCTTCGGGTCGGGGACAGGTCTCTCACTGTCGTGTGTGCCTACGGGCCGAACCCGCCCCTCTTGGAGTCTCTGGGAGGGGTGCTGGAAAGTGCTCCGACTGGGGACACCTTGAGGGGCGTGATTGGGAGGAACAGCCCCCCTGATCTGAACACGAGCGGTGTTCTGTTATTGGACTGCTGTGCTAGTCACAGCTTGTCCATAACGAACACCATGTTCAAGCATAAGGGTGTCCATCAGTGCACATGGCACACAGACACCCTAGGCCGGAGATCGATGATTGACGTTGTGGTCGTTTCATCTGTCCTCCGGCCGTATGTCTTGGAAACTCGGGTGAAGAGAGGGGCGGAGCGGTCAACTGATCACCACCTGGTGGTGAGTTGGATCCGATGGCGGGGGAGGCAGCTGGACAGACTCAGCAGAGTCTGTCAGAGTACTCAGCGTACTGTGAGGGTCTGTTGGGAATGTTTGGCCGAGTCCCCTGTCAGAGAGATCTTCAACTCCCACCTCTGGCGGAGCTTCGACCGGACCCCGAGGTAGTCTGGAGATATTGAGTCCGAGTGGACCATGTTCTCCACCTCCATTGTCGACGCAGCCGCTCGGAGCTGTGGCCGTAAGGTCTCCGGTGCCTGGGGGTATGGGGTCCGGGGCCCTTTGCTAAGGGCTGTCCGGTCCTTGTACGACCGGAGCAGGAGCTTGGTTCACATTGCCGTCAGTAAGTCAGACTTGTTCCCGGTGCATGTTGAGACTCCGGCAGGGCTGCCCTTTGTCAACCGGTTCAGTTCATAATTTTTATGGACAGAATTTCTAGGCGCAGCCAGGAGCCAGAGGGTGTCCGGTTTCGGGACCACACAATTTTGTCTCTGCTTTTTGCGGATGATGTTGTCATGTTGGCCCCATCAGACCAGGACCTTCAGCATGTACTGGGACGGTTTGCAGCCGAGTGTGAAGCGGCTGGGATGAGAATCAGCACCTCCAAGTCCGAGGCCATGGTTCTCAGTCGGGAAAGGGTGGCTTGCCCTCTTGAGATTGGTGGAGAGTTCCTGCCTCAAGTGGAGGAGTTCAAGTATCTTGGGGTCTTGTTCACGAGTGAGGGAAGGATGGAACGGGAGATTGACAGACGGATCGGTGCAGCTTCTGCAGTAACGCGGTCGATGTACCGGTTTGTCGTGTTGAAGAAGGAGCTGAGCTGCAAGGCGAAGCTCTCGATTTACCGGTCAATCTAGGTTTCTGCTTTCACCTATGGTCATGAGCTGTGGGTCATGACCGAAAGGACAAGATTCCGGATATAGGCTGCCGAAATTAGCTTTCTCCGTAGGGTAGCTGGTCTCTCCCTTAGAGATAGGGTGAGGAGCTTGGTCACTCGGGAGGAGCTCAGAGTAGAGCCGCTGCTCCTCCACATCGAGAGGAATCAGCTGAGGTGGCTCGGGGATCTGTTCCGGATGCCTCCTGGACACCTTCCTGGGGAGGTGTTCCGGGCGCGTCCCATCGGGAGGAGACCCCGGGGAAGACCTAGGACACGATGGAGGGATTATGTCTCCCGGCTGGCCTGGGAACACCTCGGTATCCCCCCGGAAGAGATGGAGGAAGTGTCTAGAGAGGGAAGTCTGGGCGTCTCTGCTTAGACTGCTGCCCCAGCGACCCGGCCCCAGATAAGCGGAAGAAGATGGTATGGTATGGTATGTGTTTTAAACAGAATGTCAAACTTTTGAATCTATGTGCCGGAAAAATGCAGTCAAATCTCGAGTTAGGGGGTACTTTTTGTTAACCATTTATCATATGTCTTAGAAGTAATAATTAGGAAAAACAACACTGTGGATAAATGAATGCCATTTTGTTTTGAGTGGGCATTAACCAGGTCACTTCCCCTAACTCATTTAGAATGGTATGTACTTAGTGTAATTCATTACCTGTTTAAGTTTTTCATCTGTGAGGCAGTTAAGTTCAATGATGAACTCGCTGTCTGTCGGCAGTATCTGTGCGCTCGGGTCAATTATTTTTATGATATCAAGTTGCTCCCGAAGACCCATCTCTGTGCTCACTTTTCGACTTAAATATTCAATATATTCCACCTGAAAAACAAAAATCAAAGTTAGTTTGCTTTAAGAACAGTAGAAGCTCTAAAGAAACAGAACAACAAGTAAATGCAGAGAAAAGTCTTCCTTTCTTTCATAATTGTCTAATTAGCATTTTTCATTAAAATTATATTATCACTATATCAATATAAAAGTTATATTGAGGGGAAAAAAATGACATTACTAAACATTTCTCAGCATTTGAGAAATGTTATCCCATGTTGATTTATTGACAACAGCACTGGAGTTGACATGGACAAAACCTGATGATCCATGTTAATTATTGTTATTTGTTGGTCTCAGACTAGAGGGCTGCATTGGGATTGAGTCCCGCCAGGTCCCACGGGACCCAACGCAAATCTCGCGGGAGCGGGCGGTTTTAACTTTGCTGCGGGCGGGAATGGGCGGTTAAAAAAAACAACAGCGGGATCGGGAGATAACCTAGCGACATGATGGAGATGTCAATGATGTGGAAAAGAACCTCAAACGAGGTATTACAGCACAAAACCTAAGCAAGGCACCTTCACCTTCCTGATCAGTGCGTCAGAATACATGGAGGCCAGGGAAACGAAACAAACAACCCCATGAATCTCTTTAATAACAGCAATACAAATACGTGTTTTTTCTTGCGGGACGGGAGAAGACACAAAGTCAATGCATCTCTCATATTGTGCGGGAATAAATTCTCAGAGTTTTGCGGGTGCGGGCGGGAGTGGACATGCATATTGCGGGACCGGGCGGGAGTGTAACACACTGAACACATGACAACACATACTGGGAGTATTTTATATTTTCATTGCATAAATAAAATAAATCAACCTGTTCATCATTAGTCATGGCACTCCAGGGAAGCTCATCCAGATTTCGGTGTGGTTTGTTTTTTCTTTTGGATACAAGGCAGGGTGAACTGGGCACGCTGGGTATGATGTCTGACAACACATCACTGCCACTGGCTATGTCACTGCCTGGTAACTACAATGGCACAGTTTTTGTTCAGCAAATTCTTCAATGAAATAATCAACAGCTTATCCATATGTTAATAAAATACAATGAAAGTGAAATAAAAAAAATTAAAAAACGGCTTCAAAACTAAGGGCTTACCTGCCACTCAAATTCGCTGTCTGACCAGTCCCAATAAGTGCTGATGGAGGACGACACGTCGCTGCAGACACTGCCTTCTGGGAACAGGTCAAAGGAGGTGAGTTCCTGATCATCCAGGAGGGAGTAGCAGTCATCCTGATCGCCCACAGAAACAGAGGAGAAGAGTTCCTCACTGCACTCTGAACTGGCAACACTTGTGCCGCATGACGTCAGGTTCCATCTGCAAAGAGGTGAACGTTGTTGACTTAAAGGCAGTTTAGATTAGAGGTCTTCACAGGTCCACTTGGATCCGAAAATCCGAGGTCTGACCCAAGAACCAAGCGGGTTCGGGTCCAAAACTTTGACGAGTGCCTCGGGCACTGATCGGTCCTGATCTTAGTGGCCACAGGTTTAAGGTCATTTTAAATAAATGTGCTTTTACCAAATGGACCCAAGAAGACCCTAATTATTATACAATTTTCTGTGCTTCTTAATATTAAAATAAATATACATTTCCATTTCATTTGAGGTGAAACAAAGCTATGAGCTTATGAGCGGTTTACCTCCTTGGAAGTGCTCACCCAATTGCGGAAAAAAGATAAACTGTTGTTAGATTGATTACAGAAAACCATCTAAATGCTCTCTCTCTCTCTCTCTCGGGTCTGGCCTTGACGTGGCGAGGGGGCTTGCGTGTTCCAGTGACCCTGGAGAGCGATACCGTCGGGAGCTCGCTCCTGGTAGGGTCACCCTAGGCGGGCCGGTCTCCAGGGTAGGTTCCAGACAAACAAAGACCCCAGCATGTCGGTATGCTGCAAGGTGGCAGCCCCACCAACCGACTATCCTGCGGAGGGCTAACAACCCACCCAGGAGAAACTATTTTGTTACGAAACCGATCAGAGAAAGTAGCCGGACAGCCCAACACGGTAACGGACCCCTGCCTGCCCCCGACCAACGAGTACGGTTAAACCTTCGCCGCAGTACCCGAGTCGCCACATGGAATGTCCAGACACTTCTTCGCCCCGGAGCTGCCACCCTGCTGTCCAGAGAGCTCTGCCGCTATAACATCACCTTGGCAGGGCTCTGTGAAGTTCGATGGCACGGCAATGGCGAAACAACAGCAGGCGACCATTGCTATTTCTGGAGTGGCCCCGAGAGACGGACAGGCCTTTATGGCGTGGCACTTGCCATCCCAAAGGCCCTCCGCAAATCCCTCATCAACTGGACACCCCTGAGCGACAGATTACTGTCAGCCCGCTTTCTCCACCAACATGGCATAATGACAGTAATCGTAGCTTATGCCCCCACCGATGTCGCTGATGAGGATGCAAAGGACGCCTTCTTTGACCAACTCCATCAGGCTGTTGGCCAAGCCTCACCACATGACATCACCATCATCCTCACCGATGCCAACGCCTCTCTGTCTAGCAGTGATCGGTCCACAGGCTCACCTGTCGGCACAACCTTTGCTGACAGGTCCACAAACGACAATGGTAACCGCCTTCTCCTTCTCTGCCATCGCAACAACCTTTGCGTTGCTGATACCTGGTTTCCTCGGAAGCTTATCCATCACTGGACATGGTACAGCCCAGATGGCAGAACCAGGAAAGCGCTGGACCATATCCTCATCTCTCGACGCTGGAAGCCGTTTGTCACCAACTGCCGCGTGTACCGAGGAGCAGAGCTTGGCAACACAGACCATCGCTTGCTGGTGGCCCAGCTCAAGTTAAAGCTGCGAGCCAACCAGCACACTAAGACTCAGCCTCGCCTCGACTCCTCCCTACTCAGTGATCCAAACATCGCCACAGAATTCAGTTGCGCCATCCGCCGCACCTTTGATAACCTGACTATCGACAAGGTGAACGACTGGCAGACCTTCAAGGAAAGTGTCATCCAGTCAGCTCACAATGTCTTCGGATGCTTTCGACCTTCCCCGAAAAAGCCTGGGATATCGGAGAGGACACTCCACATCATTGACCGGCGGCGTGAGGCCCGGCTCCGAGGCGACATGGCGGAGTATCAGCGACTGAACCGCCAGCGCAATGTGGCTATAGCCGAGGATAGGGAGAAGTTCTGGCAAGCAGAAGCTAAACACCTAGAGTCCGCGGCCAATAACAACAATATGAGCCGGGTCTTCAGTCTGCTGCGCCAAGCCCGTAATGGTCCACGCATCAAGACAGCCCTGGTGAAAGATTCCGATGGCAACCTTATAGCAACTGAAGCAAACTGCCTCGAACGCTGGAAAGAGCACTTCAGCCTCCTTCTGCAGCACGGTACCTCCCCAGCCGATACCACCATCTCATCGACCGCTAATGCTGCAGTCCTTAGTGCTGTCTGCAGTACTGACCCTGTCACACCTGAGGAAGTCAGAGCCGCTCTGGAAAAACTTAACAACAGGAAAGCCCCCGGCATCTGTGCAATAACCGCTGAGATGCTAAAATCCGGCGGTGAAACCATCATCGAGTGGCTTACCCACATATTCAATGAGGTGTGGAAGACAGAGAGGCTTCCCAGCGACTGGACCAGAGGAGTCATTTTGCCCTTCTGGAAACGTAAGGGCGACAGGTTAGTCTGCGGCAACCACAGAGGCATTACCCTTCTCTCCATCCCCGGCAAGCTCTTTACCAGGATCTTGCTCACTCATGCTCTCCCAGCCATCAGAAGCAGCCGCCGTCCCCAGCAGGCTGGCTTCATGCCTAACCGCTCCACAACAGACCAAATCTCCGCCGTTCGCTTGCAGATAGAGAAGACCTATGAATTCCGTAAAGATCGCCATCTTTACATCGGGTTCATAGATCTGAAGGCTGCCTTTGACACCGTTTGCCACACTTCACTGTGGAGTATCCTACACGCCCTTGGAGCACCACCCAAAATCGTTGCCCTGTTCAAGCTGCTTTATAGCAACGCTCAGAGCTGTGTCCACATCAATGGCAAAGACTCAGACTGGTTTTCCATCTCCAGTGGCGTTCGCCAGGGCTGCGTGGCTGCTCCTGACCTCTTCAACTGCATCATTGACCATCTGATGTCTAGGGTGTGTGAGCGGGTCCCCAGAGTGTCCTTCGGCAGTTACCACCTGACTGATCTGGAGTATGCTGACGACACCATCCTGCTCAGCACGTCCTACAACCAGCTGAGAGATGCTCTGGGCATATACAGCGAAGAGGCTGAGAAGCTTGGCCTTCAGGTGAGCTGGACAAAAACCAAGTTCATGTATGTCGGTGACGGACCTCATCCAACTTCCCTGCGGCTTGGCAATCACATTGTAGAGCCTGTCAAGAGCTTTGTGTATCTGGGATCCTTAGTGACAGACAACGGGGAGCTAAAACCAGAGATTACCCGCAGAAGAGCCCTGGCTGCGTCAGCCCTGCAGTCTCTCTGGAAACCACTCTGGCGGCATCAGACCATCTAACGCAAGACGAAGCTCCGGATTTACAACTCGGCAGTACTCTCCATCCTGCTTTATGGCTCGGAGACTTGGCCCTTAAATAAGACACTGACTGCGAGATTAGATGGCTTTGATAGCAGGGCCCTCAGGACCATCGAGAACATCAGGTGGCCCCAGCGGGTTTCCAATCAAGTGCTTAGAGCCCGCACGTGCCAGCCCAGAGCATCCTGCCTGGCTGCGCAACGTCGCACCCGCTGGCTCGGCCATGTCCTCCGTCTCCCTCCTGACCATCCGACGAGAGCCATTCTCCAGTTTGATCCGAGGGCCGCAGGCTGGAGACGACCACGAGGTAAACCCCGCACCCGATGGCTCGACGTCCTTGCGAGCGACCTCCAACAACATGGAGTTGCTGTGGAGGATGCAGAGCAGCTGGCACAAGACCGTCAGCACTGGAAACAACTGGTTCATCTGGTCGGCTCAACGCACAGGGATGGGACGCCCCCCCCACCCATCGCAGGAGCCAAAATGAATGAATGAAATGAATCTAAATGCAGTTGAGGTCAAACTAATCAACTAAATCTAATTAACAAAAATTAACCCATAACTCTATATTTTCATGTTTTATTAAAATTTGCAAAAATTTACAAAAAGCTGGACAGACAGCAAGACATGGTGTGTCACATTCGGTTACGGCAGTCAGAACAGTAAAACTCTCTCCCAGATATTTCAATGACATCAACTTAACACCAGAAAACAAAACAGAGATATTCACCACATGCATAGTTTTGTGGTAGTATACCTTACTATACAGATAGTAGAAGAAGAACATTTATTTGCTACATTTAACAAATATGTTAGAAATGTAAAATTATTGGTAAAAGGGGTCATGAATTGAGAAATCAAATTTGCTTTGATCTTTTGACGTGCAAGGTGTCATTGTACAATTAAAACATCTTGTAAGTTTTTGAACTCAAAACTTTCTCGGTAGTGCAAAAACAACTTTTATTGAAACCAATCTCCGAAAACAACTAATTTAGGATTTTGTCACATTATGACGTAATAGTGCAATGAAAGACCGCCTTTGCAGAATCAACGCCTACTTCTACATTATCTCATCTTTAGCCCCACCCACTGGCGCATTAATGAGATGAGAAGGAGAGAAGAGAGATACAGGACCACTGGACTAATAATAACTAAGGATGCCCTGATCAGGATTTTTGCAGCCGATACTGACTACCGATTTTTTGTCATCATTATGATTGGCCAATGCAGATCCTGTAGCAAATTAGCTCAAAAGGGAAATATATATTTGATTAATCATAATGGGTTATAATTAATTAAAAATATTTAGATCAGCTTAAAAGAGAAATACAAGCAGAATTAATTTACAAATAGACTCATCTGTTTGTCCACCAAACCGACTGTACAATCTTCGATCAATTCTTAAAGGAGAACTCAAATAATGTTAACAATTTTAACATTGAGCTAAATTTTTTGTAAATTTGGAGTGCTGTCAGTACAGAGAACAACGACAAAAATCGGTGTTTCCTACACCGTGTTATCCTCTTTTTAAAATTTGCACCCTGTTGACTTAAATGGGGCAAGTTTTAAACCTGCTTTTACCCTCTTAACATCCTTGATGTGTCATTACAAGTGCACAGCCATGTGAGTGATTTTATTCAAAGTGAACACAGTGAATCTGACTGCAGTAGATGTGAAAGATATGAATAAAAATGATGTTTATTCAGCCAGCTCACATACCTGTATTTACTTCATTGGTATTTACTTTACTTCATTTCGCGATCATTGGTAACTAAGCAACAGTGGAGACTCACTGTTCGCGCGCGCAAACTCGACAA